TCATTTCAGTGGCATTGCCCATCTGCAACTAAACTGCGGTTGCGTTGCCATCAATAATCGACCCATAGGTCTAGACTAACTTGAGTCTGAATACGTTAGTAAACAAAATAAACACCATTCTGTAATTTATCTTTGAATTAATAAATCAAAATATAAACAAAATGTAGCTATGTAAAATTATTTAGAAAAAATAAGAACATGTGTTCGGAATATGGTAGTTTTTACCATTAAGATATTAGCTCCTTGGCATATAAATTACTGTAGTATTGTACGAATTCGCCGCATTGCTCCGCTGCTTGAACAAAAAAAAAAACATTAAAACATTTTTGTTAAAGTTTGTTTAATGAATCTTACTTTTTAAAAAGTCCATACTACCACGTTGGCGGAGGTTTCTCAACTGGAAGAATTTAAAAACGCTGTGGAATATTAGATCGTCATTCGCCTTTTGAGCAGCTTCAAGGAATTTGCGAGCGGAAATCGTTTCATTGATTTTTGAGTTGCGTGCCAAACGTAAAGCATCCACTACTTTGCCCTGGCCTAACAGCACCTCGATAATAATCTAAAACATGATGAATTAATGATTGTATTGTGAATCATATAACTATTATTAACATATTTTGTACTTACATCATGTGCGCCGATTTTGCTTAGCATATCAAGGGCGATTTGTGAAATAGCAGCATCGACATTGGAGTGCGAAAGCAGAAAACATGCAATTGGTTTTGACTCTAATAAAAGGGAGTAGCTAACCAAATGTCTGAGTGTGTCAAAGCTACGATTTCGTATAAGTTCGCTTATGATCATTTTACTCAGATCCTCTTGAGCAGCAATGTTATGTTTGTTGAGCGAGTGTAAATAAAGGATCAATATAGTTTCAGTGTTTTCACGCTCGCAAATAGATTGGAAGACGTGCGTGTACATATCTTGCTGTTCAATGAGAACTTTTGGCGCAGGCGGCAGTTTGGGAGTAGTTTTAACATTTGACGGCTGAGCAGTTTGTGTTTGTAGCTCCAGTTGTACCCATGAACTGATAAAACATATTTGATCAGATAAGAGAGAACTACTTATTACTACGTTTAACTACTTACGCATAAACCCTATTGATCTTATCGAAAATAGTTTCTAACACGGTCAATAATGTACCTTTGTACTGTTCATCAACCATTTGACATAGCATTTTCAACAGTACTTGTTTGCCACTGGCGCGCTGCAGTAGAAACTCTGTGAGCCGGATACGATCTGATATAAGCGTACAAAGTGATTCAACATTTAGGTTCAAATACCACATGCAACCCAGCATAGCATCAATTACTATATTCGGCTGAAAAAGCACCCAATTGACCGAATCTAAATCATGAAAAAATTATTAAAGCTACCATCAATATGACCTTAAGAAACGTACACAATTCGCATTGCATTATTTGTCCGTCTGGTGATAGACTTGGCAGTTTCAGTGCAAAAGGCCGAATGGAACGCCCTGGGGTAATAGGTATATGATAGGTAACGCCGTTCACTAATTCACCAGGCATAGAAATATCAAACAGAAGTGATGTCGCAGATGATTGATGATGTACTACTATTAAGTTATCGACAGTATTAATTGCGAAACGTCCGACATGCCCCAACCTAAGCACATGACATTTACGTGGGGCCAAACCTGGTCCATTAAGGAGGTACACTTCTACTTCCATCATACCCGCGGTGCTTACTTGGAGCAGAAAAATTGCCATAGCGCCATATACTTGCCCCAGAGTCACTTTGCTCTCCTGAACTTCACGGTTTGTATCGCTCACTGTATGTAAAGTTAATATTTTCTATGTAGAAGAATAGCATATTATAAAAATAATACTTACTCTCCAGTTTTGGTAGTTTAGTAATAGATTTCTGTTTTATCAAAACTGGTACTAACGCATTATTATCTGTTGAGCAAATTAGAGCAATATTAGATTCAGCGCACCATGCAAACCATTTTATACCGATATTTAATGATTTTACAATCCGCACTTGTCGTTTTTCTGCTAATACTGTGAATATTTCGATACTGCTGTTTGAAATTATCGCAACTTCGCGCGAATGCACCCAAACAAAACCATAGACTACAGCTTTAATTTGATGCACAATAATTTCCTGAAGCAAAGGTTGTTCGCCATGGAAGCAAATGAATTCAACGGCGTTTTCTTTTCGTTGTACTGCGAGTACTTTATTGTCAGGCGAAAATTTGATGGATCGAATTGTACCGCGGTCGTTCATGCAAAACGATATCACAGTTTCCTCCGTTGGCCCCTTAACTATTACTCCAGTTGCACCTCCACTACGTACAGCAAAAATCTGCAAAAAACTGGAATAATTATCTCGGATCCGTCATTTTCCAACATTCAATACCTGTCTATTGGAGTCATCAAAAAACACATTAGTCAGTTGGCTAACAGCATCAAACCGAATGGGGCATTTAGACAACTCGATGTAATGAAGCGAACCCATCGTAAATGGAATTAATTTCTTTCCCTCTGCAGCTTTCGGTTGATTTCAGTATAATTGTAGTCTACCACCCTAAAATAAATTTATTTTTTATCATTCGTCTTATCATGGATAAATGTCCAATTCGAACATGATTATTATTACTATTAGGTTCCTTCCAGTACGCAACGCGGGATCCCGGGAGTGCCCAAAATAGCCAAGAAATCATTACCGTACTCAACAAAATGGGTAATAGAGAGCGAAAATTGGAACGTATTGGATCGTAAGTGTCTTCTTCTTCCTGCCCGAAACAGCCGGACTTTTTCTCCGGGTAAAAATAGTTGTGTTCGCGTAACTGTTAATTGTTCATGTTTAACCAAAACTTACAAGTTTTTGCGTTCGCGTACGCAAAAAACTTGCAAAGTAGGGGAAATTGAGAGAGCAAAGTGACATTTCATTTTGAGGGGAAGCTGCTGGTTTCTGCTGGAAGAATTTTTGTCAACAGCAATTTACCAACAGGAAAGCAGCTGATCAAAAACAGCGGGTTGGCATTTACGCAAATCACAACATTGAATATGATGGTTTGGAAGTTAAAAATTACAAAATGCGACTAATTAAACTTGCAAGAAATAAGTAGTTATTTGTTTAATCAATAAACTGTGTCAGTATACCACTTTGTGATGACTTCTCGTACGTTTCAAATTTTACACTTTTGAATGTAAACAAAAATTATATCAGGTGATCGTCTAACTTGCAAGTTTCTGCAAATTTTCTGTTCGCGTACTGTTTTGAATATTTCTCTCTTGTGAGAGAACAGATGACATTCCGCCGGAATTTGGCAGTTGGTTGGTTTTTACTGGAGATTTTAAACGAACGCACCTAATGTAAAGCGTCAATGTGCATATCAGCTGTTTTGTGTTTACATGTTGCCTGCATTTACTTGTTGCTTTTAAGGAATAGTGAATGTATTTTCAACCTTTATATTCTTGAAATCAAATTTGTGAAACAAAAATTCATTTAAGTGACAAAAACAAAAAAAAAAACGCGAATCAACGGTTTCTCAAATTCTGTGTACGAAATGTGGTTTTTTGCGTGACCGTACTTCTGAATTATGTTCCATTTTTGAGAGCAAACTTTGCGCTTATTCTCTATTTACCGGATCCGGTCCGGTTTGTTAGGGAAAGAACCTAATACAAGTTTTTATTCTTCAATTTTGAAACATATTTTAATTCTCTATCTTTGGATGTATCAACTATTGCAAAAAGTTAAGTAATAACGAAGATATTGGGCAAAATAGAAAGCTTACGCTCACGCTCGCATTGAACTGTATATCAAGCTTTAAGCGCTGGTTAGGCCGTGGTTATACCACCAATTTTAATTAGGCCTCCACACACTGGGCATGAATCACGTATGACGACAATCGTCTGAACGATATCGTGTCGAGATTGTCTTGCTTCATAAAAATCAAAAATTTTTGTGTCGTTTGTGCGATATCGTCAACTCGATTCCAGTTTTGCTTCACGTAACAGTAACAGTAACACGTAACAGCAACACAAATGCATAAATCAGTGTTTTGACAACATCGTTTTGTCAGTATCGTTTGAACGACTATCGCTTCAAAGTTACGTGATTCATTCCCTGGACTGCTCAGTGCGCCTAAAACCTGTTTTGTGTGGTTAAAAGGGGGAAGAGAGTTCGAGTTTACCTCTCTCATTTCAGTCCGCGAAAATCGCGGATTGACGCACCAGTAAGAATTAGCCAGTAACAAAATTCAGAGAATAAAGTACCTTACTCTCCCAAAGAGAGAAACTTACTAAGTTTTGCGCGAACAGGAATTAGAAAACATTTGCAATATTCACTGCCAACTGGCGTCCACGGTTGCATTTCGAGCATAATAAATTTTTTAAACTATATCAGGAGGAAATCAAAACAGGACCTTTACGTATATTTCTTCTTATTCTGAGTTTCTTCAACATACGCTTCAATTTCTTTGTGCAAGTCACTGTCGGATTTCTTATATCGACAGTGGTGCCGAGTGCGTTCAAATTACGAATACAGCTTTTTCAGCCGAATACCTTTCAAATGTGTGGAATTAATTACACTAATTGAATAAATTAACATTTACATACTTCTTTCATTAGTAAATCGCAACAAGATTGTTCATTTTTAAATTTAACGAACTCGTTGATTCAAATTAATGTTGATAAAATGCAACCGTTTGCCGCAATCCTGCTTGCAAATTCTTACCGGCAAAAATTTTCCCAGCACGAACTTGCAACTTCCCCTCCAAATGAAATGTCAAAATTGTAAAATCAGTTTAAATTGTGTTAATTTGCAATTTGTGAGCGATTTTTGAGTTGAAGACTGCGTAAAAACTAATCCAATGAAGTGCTGTGTGTTAAATTGCGACAGCCGCCAAGATGCAAGAAGCGTAGATGCAAGTGTAGCGCTGGGACGAATCGCTGCATTTTGTGAACCGCTTTGGCAGTTTCAACTCGTTCTTCTTTTCGCTCTATTCTTTGTTTACTTGTGGTACACAAATGTCAACGCCCAGGACGGCGCAATCTTGTATTCATTCTTGAGACTTGACGTGTCTGAAAGGGGACTTATTTATCAGCTGTTAATGAATAAATTAAAAAGTCAATAAAAAATATATGTTAATTCGTTTTCCTTTAAAGGATATTTCCACGAGTTTTAAAAACGATAATAAGTTCTTGAATATAAAATAGAATTTTGAAACGAGTCAACAGTCCGAGTTAAGACTACTGCCAAAAAATGGTGATTAGGTATGTACATATTCTAAATTTAACTCCGGTAGTGCTGATTTTTACGTAATGATTTTATTCCACATGTACACGCTAACTTTATTCCAATCCAGCTTACTAGTACGTGCCGGCATTGTTGTTGGTGCCGTATATTACTCCAAGAAACTGGGAGTATGGGGTAGCTCCGAAGAAACCGAAAAATTGTATAACGAGTTAAAGGAAGGGTTGCGTCCACATGCAAAAGAGCTGGAAAAGAAACTGCCTTTTGATGTACCCGCTCTACCTCAAACCGGAGAAGCTCGATTCCTGGCTAAGCACTACTACAACGAGGGTGTAAAAAAAACTTTTCATTTCATTGAAATGCTTCCGTGTTACACCGGGCAATTAATTCATAAAGCCAAGGTAGAATTTGAAAGATTCTCTCAACCTCCATCTTCGAGCACTGATAAATAAAGTTGTGCATACAAAACTTGGTATATTGTAAATTCTACACTAATTGATTGACCAATACATACTATTAAATTAATTTAAAACACATGTATATCGTTAATAGCGATATAAAAGGTAGGCGTATATTCGAGTTGCAATAAATGCATCAGTGCTACCTTTCACGAAAGAGCATCATGTTCTTTGCGAAAATTTGGGCGACTCTGCCCGCCTCACGCGTTCGATGAAAGAAAGTTTGACGATACGTCGCTCACACTAGCATTTGATTTGCTTACAAAATGTTTACTCTGTTATTTCTGCAACATTTCATTCGAGCATCAGCATCAAGAAAGCAGCAAGATTGCAATATTGCGGCAATTTTTATGAAGCAGGAGCGCATAATTCAATGTAAACAAAATATTGAGTCCAACGTTTGTCCCTTTTTCCATAGTTATAAGACTCCCTAAAGTTGTGCAAATTTCTTGCTGAAATAAACCAATTTGGAAACGTAAATGAAAATAATTAAATATAAAAAGTGGACTGCTAAAACTGACTTAGCAGCGCAGAAGAGTTGCACAAGAAAAAAAGCAATAATTATACCTACCGGAACCGTTTCTTAGACAATTAGGAAGTAGCCACGATTTTTTTTTACTTTCCTGGTAGCTAGCGTTCAAAATCCCTTGGAATAAATTAAACTTTTTTTCTAATGCGGTTAAATGNGGCAATAATTATACCTACCGGAACCGTTTCTTAGACAATTAGGAAGTAGCCACGATTTTGTTTACTTTCCTGGTAGCTAGCTTTCAAAATCCCTTGGAATAAATTAAACTTTTTTTCTAATGCGGTTAAATGAGTCTATGTAGATTTTACATCCAAAAAAGGTCCAGAGTGCTTTGAAAGTTATGGTAGGTGCAGTTTTGGAAATATCGCGCTGGTATGAACCGAGTATGGATAGCAACCTCAGCAAAAAAAAAAACATACACCTGCTGTGTATGCCAGAGACGACTACACCACAACTCCACCTCAGTCAGAGAGAGAGACCTCGGAGTTTGCTCAGGACTACCGACCCATCTGCAGTGGACCACATCATTTCGAGGGCCCGTCTTGCGCCGCTCGGCCGCAAACCCCAACTGCGACGCCGCCCACTACCACCACAGGGCGGCAACCTCCACAGCAGCACACACAGCCAATGGCGGCAAGGCCACATACCCCGCATAACTACACGTCTCGCGATCCACATGAAGCTCATTCAATTTAACTGTAATGGACTTCAGAGCAAGATCGAGGAGATAACCGTCTTCATGGGAAGGCTGCGGTCCAAGAGACGAAGTTGCACGGCAATTCAATATTGTTGTGCAGTATCGTCTTATTGAAGCAGACATCGACCGCAGGGATACCACCCTAAAATGTCAGGGCATTGCTATCCGGTCAGGCGATGTTGAGCTCGAAATATTTAACGTATACATACCCCCTGTCCCTTGCTGCCCGGCAGGATATCACCCTGATAAGGTGCGCTACTCAGAGGTGAAAACCGTATGGTAGTTGGTGACTTTAATGCGCACCACGATCTTTGGCACTCAAGCCTATCAAACGATCGTAGGGGAACAGACTTGGCTGAGCAGATAGATGATTCGACATTCTGCACAATGAACGACGACGCAACCACCAGGAGTACGGGCAGCTGCTGCAGTTCGCCAGATATAACAATAGTCAGCGCTGGTCTGATAAACAGCGTATCATGGCGACCTATGCTGACTTTGGCAGACCATCTGCCCATAGTCATCTCGATCGATAATTATAATCCAACCGACTTTGCTTCCGCGGAACACCGGACCTATATCAACTTTTCTAAAGCTGATTGGAAAGGCTTCGCGGAATTTACTGTGGGAAGAGCATCTGAAGACTTGCAACCTCACCTCTGGTGTGAGTAAGCTTTGTTCAACCGTGAAGTCACTGTCCAATCCGACGAAGCACGACGATAGGGTCGAAATTTCTTTCGGCGACCATGCCTCGTCGGACCCGGAGCGATGCGCGAGCTATTTTAGCCGGCAGTTCATACTGCATCCTCCGGTGGAGCTGCGTCGAGTGAGCAGAAGGCTGCGCAAACTGCCAACAACTTGTGTCCCCTTGCTTTCAGTAGCGGTGAAGTTCAGATGGCCATCGGGAAGGCGAAAGCCTCCAAAGCCATGGGTCCAGACGTAATATGCATGCTGATGCTGAAAAATTTGGTTCCTGTGGGAGTAGCGTACCTAACGGAGGTCCTCAATTTGTCAATGACCACTCTCATCATCCCAGACAGCTGGAAGGTGGGGAGAGTGGTCCCTCTGCTCAAACTGGGGAAACCAGTCAACAAAGGAGAATCGTATCGGCCGATAACACTCCTTTCCCCGGTAGCGANGGAGAGTGGTCCCTCTGCTCAAACTGGGGAAACCAGTCAACAAAGGAGAATCGTATCGGCCGATAACACTCCTTTCTCCGGTAGCGAAGACACTAGAGGCCTTGCTGGTCCCGTATTTCACAAACCACCTGAACCCAGCGAAGCATCAATATGGTTTCCTTAAAGTGCACAGTACAACAAGAGCACTTAACGCCATAAACACTCAGATAACACGTGGCCTTAACCGCAACCGTCCCTGTGAGAGAACTGTTCTAGTAGCGTAGGACCTGTCATAGGCGTTTGACACCGTCAGCCACTCCACGCTACTAGAAGATATAGAAGCTTCCTCTCCCACAGAGGCTCAAACGGTGGTCGGCGAATTATCTGAGTGGTCGACACTAGTCGGTAATGTTTAGAGACAAATCGAGCAAACTCAGAAAAATAAAACAGGGGGTTCCACAGGGTGGTGTCCTTTCCCCGCTATTGTTTAACTTTTATATTCCAAAGTTCCNACCTGAACCCAGCGAAGCATCAATATGGTTTCCTTAAAGTGCACAGTACAACAAGAGCACTTAACGCCATAAACACTCAGATAACACGTGGCCTTAACCGCAACCGTCCCTGTGAGAGAACTGTTCTAGTAGCGTAGGACCTGTCATAGGCGTTTGACACCGTCAGCCACTCCACGCTACTAGAAGATATAGAAGC